TGCAAGTGGATGTTGTCTGGGACTGACGGAAGAAAAAGATTTACCTGCTTTTGTCTGACAATATTTAGATGGCCGGCTTGGCTGAGATGGAAAGAAAAAGAGACAAAGAAGAGACCAACAGTGAGAGGCTGTAGCTTTTTTAACTGTATGTCACTTGTCTAGGAATTGAATTCAGTGAAGGGTGGAGGCTGGCGAGGGGAATATAGCATTGACATCAGCTAGTGGCATAAAGGTAAAAATTATCTGTACTTCATCTCCTTCAGATTGTCCATGGAGAACCAGCTCATATTAGGCTGTGAAAGCACATCTTTTGGGGCAGCAAAGAAAGAATCAAAGAGACTGTATTATTGACTGCGTCTCTTCCCAGGCTGAGAGATCAGAAAAAGCCACAGACTCATACAGTGAAAGAACTCCAGACCCCCAGACTCTGCTGTGACAAAATAAAAATTCTTCCCCAGCACAGCTTAGTCATAAAGGAGGAGCGGCAGCCATGACTGTCTGTGTTGGGAACAACATCTTGCTAAAAATTCCTGTTCTAACCCCAGTTGTGTCCTCCATGCAAACTCTGGGGCTAAGATAGGTCTGAGAACACCTTCTCTTAACCCCACTCATGACTAAGTTGCTTTACTATAGTTGTAAACAGCCTAATAATAGTGTCAAAAGTGCCTGCAGATGCAAAGTAACCTTGCAGACTGTTGCATGGCTTTGGTGCAAAGATGCACGCGTTGACGTGTGATCCAGCAGGACCCTCTGACATGGTAACTCCTCAGCTGTCTCTCTTCACTTATTGCACCCACCAGACTTACCCACCTCTGCAGCAGAAATGGTCAAGCTGAATGTAGTTCATCTCTCCTCAGCCACTGCAGTTCACAGACAGCACATTCACACAAACCACTGAAGATTTCAGTTTCTGTCAGTACCCATCTGCTCTGTGAAGCCATGTGCAGGCCCCAGCTGGAGGTCTGATCTCTGATCTGTCCACCAGCTGCACCCAGTATGGGGACAAGGCAGCAGCGTTGCCCTGCAGCCAGAGCAGGCTACTGAACAGCATGTCCCCCAGCACAGCTCAGTGATGAAGGCCAACCCCTGTTGCACTCCTTTTCTGTGATTTCATCCCCAGAGAACAGGTGTACGCTGGTCATGGGATTCGATGCCTGTCCCCTGCATGTGTCATTCGTGTCCTGACATTCCAGTGGCTTGAGAGAGCTGCTTGGGGCACCTGAACCTGTCCCTTGCAGCACTGAACGATGCAGTCATGGAAATGCCAAGGGCTGCTGGCAGCCTGCTTGACAGCAATCTGCTGTAGCACCAGGAAACACGAGGAAATGAAAATGCTCACGATCAGGCTGTTCTATGTAACATCCTCTTCCTAGCTTTAAAACCTCCCCTATGGTGAAACACATGAACGTCTGGTTTCAACCTCCTGAAGTTAAGGCCAAAAGAGAGGGGATTAGCCCAGTGGGCCAGGTGCTGATTTCTGTTCCTCTCTGTGTAACCGGGAGAATTCCTCAGCAGGGATGGATTCTGGTCCCATGACAGTCAAAGACAGTTTCACATCGGCTTGGGTGGCACTGAGGGTTGAAATTTTTCTGTGCTTGTAACAGTGTACCTGAGTGCACAATCTGACCCTTTATTTAAATGCAACAATACATGCATTCCTGGACAAAGAAATAAAGTTAAACACAGTGAGAAAAAGATGGGCCACAGTAAGTAGAGGGGAGGAAAGAGAAAAAGAGAACAGAAAACGAGTCTATTCCGTCTAGGTTCCTAGATTGCCTTCATCGTTATGGTGTCTGAGCATTTTCCGGTGGAGTACTCAGTGCCCTGACTCAGATCTGCCACATGCGGTTCTTTGTCTCTTTCTCATCCTCTCCGCAGGGAGAGAACTGCACATGTTGTGGAGGATTTAACTTTGGGCTAGCTGGCTTGGTTTAGGGCTTGTTCATAACATGCTCACAGCTGTTTGTATTCGAGGTATGTGTTGGAGAAGTGCACCTTCTACTTGGAAAGCAAAGCGGAGAGATCGGGGTATGTTGTAGCACAGCGTTACTATGACTCCAGAGACGACTCTGCCTCCTGCTTAGACTAGATTTTCACAGGGTTAGAGAGCTCCCCTGTACCAGTAAAGTGGAACTGCTGACACCAGCAGATCCCAGCTGTTGACTTTAGAGCCTTAAAGGAGTCTCTGTATGCTGGTCTGAAGCCGCTGGGTACATCGAGGAGACCATGAATTGGGCAGTTTGGTAAGTAGAGGGCAGCCTCAGTTAGAAAACATGGGTCGGATACAAAGAAAAGCAGGTCAACAGGGGTAGGGGAAACACTCCCAAGCCCTGTCCTTGTGCTGTGGTCAATTGACTTTGGAGGCTGCCAACACTGTTTGCTAACTGATCGTTAGTTAGGAGAGGAGAGGAGGGTTTCTCTTTGTATGAGTTGCCAGAAGAAGGATAACTGGCCAGCTGGTCTGATCCAGTATTTTAGGAAGTGTTGTACTTAGAATGCAGTAAATGTCCAGGCTAACTGAGAGATCTTCACCATCCCACTGTGCTGGGTCCATCACAAACCCCCGTTCATCAACAGACTCAGCTCCAGGCAGCTTTTCATATCAGGGAAAGACCTTACCTTACCACAGGGACTGCTGTTCTAGGGTACACCTCCAAGCCAGCACTTAACTCTGTGGCTTGGTTATGGATAATGGTGGAGTTCGGGCAGTTGGAAGCTAAGAAGCTGTAAAACCCGGCTGAGATGCTGGTTAGGTACTCTGGCAGTGACCTGAAGGAGTGCTGTCCAAAATGCAAACAAATGCAATGCAATTACATTGGGTAGTTCTGTGGCAAAATGATCTACCCATGGCCTGGCTTGGTGTGACCTAAATTATCAGGTTAGGGGAAGGATTGAAAATAGCACAACATTATCTCCTCAGTATAGCTGACAAAAGGAAAATACAGTCCTAATTGATCATTTCCCACAACAGGTCTCTGTCCACCTCCCCACCCTCAGCAGTGCACATAGCAGTGGGTAACTGCTATTGCTATTTTTTTTTTGTTTTCCCCACATGGCAGAAAACTGAGGCACAAGGCTTTGCGGTGGCCTGGCAGGCCTGCCGGGCCTGGAGCAAGCATCAGGTGATCCGTGTGTCTCTGACACCTTGCCTTCTCATGCTGAGGAAAGGTGAACGTCTGGCCTGAGGACCACACGCTGGCAATGCCCCCTGCCCAGGCTGCTGTTTGCATTTAGAGAAAGAGCGTGCAGGCTGTGACACTGCTGCTTTCTGTGCCGCAGCCGTCGGCAGGGCCCAGAGTGGGGCAGGAGGCTGTCTGGGTTCCTCACATACAAGGCAGCTTCTCCCACAGACCTCCGCTGGGCTGCTGGGACGGATGCCCCGCCGGGAGGGCAGGGTGGCAGCTGGCTGCTCCCTGTCCCCAAAGAGAGCAGGGAGAGCAGGGAGCGGCGGCCCACCCCTCCTGCGCTCCCGCCTTGTGCCGGTGCCCAGGGAGGCCGCATCGGGGCTTTACCCGGGCGGGACACGGCGGCACTCGCATCCCGTCAGACCCCCGGGGAGCGAACGCCGGTTCAGGCAGAGCGTCGGTCGCCTCACACCAGTCCGGATAACTGCGCTCGCCCGAGGACGCAACTCCTCAGAGGCTTCTGCGTTACGCAGTCAGCTCCATCTCACGCCCGAACAGAAGGCGGTGGAGCCCCGTCCGCAGACCGGAGCCTGCCCGGGCCCGGTGGCGGTGGCCCAGCCGTGAGGGGGAGCCTGGGGCGCAGGGACGGGGCAGGGGGGAGAAGGTCCCCGGGGCCAGCCTTCTGCAGACAGGTCGCTCTGGGAAGCGGGCGCACCCTCCGGCCGCCCGGGGCAGCGGGTTTCTGGGACAGACCGCTGGGAGGATGACCTCGGGGGCTCGGGGTCCCGGCCCTCCCCTGCTCCGCTCTCAGGCGGCCACCGAGGGGCAGCA